AAAAAAAAAAAAAAAAACTCACCAAAACACCAAAAAGGTTAATACTAAGGTTTTGGAATTCTGGTGGTTTTTATTTATTTTGTTGTTGTTGTTGTTGTTTTGCAGGGGAGGGCAAACCCCCAAAGAAGGTCTATTTTTCAATTCCAAAGATCTTCTTTTTAAGTTTTCTGTTTCTGAATAATACCTTTAAAATTTATCAGATGAAGTTGTGATCCTTCTGATTACTATTTGTTACTTTTATGTTTGTTTTGTTCAATTGGCAAAGTAAAATTCTATAAATCTGTGCCTATTAACATTTTTCCTAAGACTTCATCCTTACTCTGAAATTCATTAAAGTCTTATAAGTTGCAAGTTTATATTCTTATATATATATAAAAGCAAAGCCCCTTTAAATATTATTTTTAAAACTAAGATGAAGAAAAAGTTGACTTAACATGTATGAATAACCGATTATGAGCTGGATTCTACGATAGGCTCCAAATGGTAAAGACCGATGCTAGTGGGTATATACATATTTTGATGGGTATACATATATAATATACACATAAATATACCATGGTGCATAGAAAATAGAGTATTTCTTTACAATATTCTAAAACACTTGTATTGCATAAAGGAAAAAAAAATTTTTTTAACGTGCCTACTATTATTTTTTCTCCTATTTTGTATTTACTTTTACCTCCTAATCTTATCTTTAGGGCCTCAAGTCCTGTAATTTAACATCCCCTTCCCCCAAGAAAAAAGAACTAGAGACTTTAAGATCCTTAAAGCTATCAAAGGGCCTACATTCTCATTTCTCCTCCATTTAGCAGCCATTAGCCTTCAAGAGAACCATGCTGTCCTCCTCCTGCAAAGACAAGCTAGAAAAATTTTTAAAATTCCTATGGAGTATGACATACCCCAACCCCACAAATATTATCATCAGCAGCTTACCTTATTAATTCTAGCTGCGCAAGTTCCTGATTTGCTTGAAATATAGGTTTTTTAGTGAAGAGTTCACCAAGGATACATCTAATGGAAAAAACACCCACCATTAACCAAATGTTCTGATTTAATCCACTACCAAAAGTTTTAAGTAGAATAAACCAATTAATGAGTCTATCTTACCCGCAGCTCCATACATCAATAGCTGGTGTGTATCGTTCCTCTCCCAACAGCAGTTCAGGTGGACGGTACCATAAGGTGATAACTTTGTTGGTATATGGCCGACTAAAAAACACAGAAAGCACTCTTTAGAATTAGTATTTGTAGAAGTAAAAGAGATTGTCTTAGAAAAATATCACTTTGAATTATCAAAGCAGTTCTACAATCCTAACTAAAATCACTTTCATCTGCCCACCAATGCAGATATATTAAGGCATCTAACAGAGGATTATAAAATGCATCAGAGAGAAACCTGATTAACTAAAAACTTCCTTTATATATGGAAATTAATAAGAAGTAGTTGGCTGTTGTTAAGTGTAATTTGGTTAAAAGGAAGCCATTGTATCAATTCAACTGTTAAAAAATGTTTTCCTTTTCATAAAATATTTTAAAAATTAACTTATTTAAAAGGGAGTTCATTGATTTTGGCCAAATCTGGCAAATTACTAAGAGATGACAAGACTCAAATTGGGATTTCCTAACAAAAGTGGTGGAGTGGATTTTTTTTCTTTGTAGTTTGTTGTTGTGGTGGTGGTACTGGGGATTGAATGCAGGGCCTCATGGAGGCTAGGCAAGTGTTCTACCACTGAAGTATACCCTAGCCCCTAACAAAAGTTTTTAACTGTCCAAGTCTTCGACAAAACTGCATTAATTTTGACCCACTCTGGGTTGTGAACAGAGAGTACAAAAATGTAGTCTACAGAAACTGGGGTCTATCCTGCAAAGAACCACTAAAAACAGATATGGCACTTTAATCAGATTTTTTTTTGTGTGTGTGACCAACTAAAAAGAAGACATACATACGGTAAAATCTTTCTTTGCCATGGAAGAGATTATCTAGCGAAGTTATATTAGAGTTAAGTTGGACCATCATAGTAGAAATTGTCTGGCAAAGTCAAAGTCTACCTGATACACATGAAAAAAGAGGGCCCTAAAAAGTCAGATGCTTTTAACTAATCCATGGTTAAAATATATACTTCTGGGTGAATACATACATCATAGCAAATTCCCCTGAAACACTATATTCCACACCCATGTACCAGGGATTGGCTTGGATTTGGACCAGTTTGGGGAAAAGAAACATATAATTTATAAAGCAATTCCCTCTTGCCAAATATAGACCTGAAGTCCCAGACATTGAAAGATCTGTCTGACTTGCTCAGCACCCACACAGCCACATTTCTCCAAATACTTTTAAACACTAATAGTAAAGCCAT